ACCAGTGCCATGCCAGCCAGAAGTTTTGAAACCATGACAACAGATCCCAATAACTTACGGTAACTGGCTGTCACACGGTGTGTTTAACTCGTCCTGCATCATTGTACAGTATAACTAAAGCATTGCCTCCATCAGACACACACTGGCACCAGCTCTGCTATGGCAACCCCAGTGGTGTGACACACACACACACACACACACACACAAGCAATAATTTAACGTCAACCACTGACACTCGCAGCTTTCCAGTAATACGCTGAATTATGCAGCCAGTAGATGTGCGGCAGGACAAACACCGGCTCTGATTGACAGTTCAAAGTTTTATCATCATTTTTCCTTTTGAGGAGCAGATCTTTCTCGTTGTCTTCAATGAATTCACGTGATTCAAACTGTGCCGATCAACACCAGTCTCCACAAATGGTACAGTGATAAACTACAGTAAAACCAAAAATAGAAAATTCCAACAAAAAAAACAACAAAAATAAAAAAATTCAGACACTAGATGTCATTTTTGATATTTGTATAGTAGCGTGTGCAGGACACTATAGTTCACCTCTGTAAGTGAGGAGAGCAAAATAAAGTAAACTGTGGCATATTACACCCAAAAATGCTTCATACACTGACTATAAAAATGAAGGTGAAGGTGTCTGAATACATCTTGGTTTGACTGTATGTAGTATATCATACGCTATCACGTTTCTCAAACTAAAGCTGAAATGATTGTGACACGTGTTTTAATTGCAGAAGTGTGTGAAACATGACGCCAGCGCCCTCTGTGGGTCAGAACAGTCCCTGCATGACCGAAGGGTCTTGATTGCTTTTTCTAGGGATAGTCCACCCAAAAATGAAAATTAGCCCATTGTTTACTCACACTCAAGCCATCGGTGTATATGAATATCTTATCTTTCACAAGAAGAAAACACAATCAGAGTTATATATTTTTTAAAAACATATCCAGGCTCTTCCAAAGCTTTATTATGGGAGTGAATGGGCGGCGAGATTTTGAAACACAAAAAAATTCATCCATCCATCATAAAAAATAATCCATATAGGATAAGTTCACTTTTAAAAAAGCTTTTGCTGATAATTTACTCGCCCCCATGTCATCCAAGATGTCCACGTCTTTCTTTCTTCAGTCGAAAAGAAATTAAGGGTTTTGATGAAAACATTCCAGGATTTTTCTCCATATAATGGACTTCAATGGGGTCCAAACAATTCAACGTCCAAATGAGAGTTTCAGTGCAGCTTCAAAGGGCTTTAAACGACACCAGACGATGAATAAGGGATGATTAATAAATAAATAACAAAGTTTAAGTTTTATGAGCTCAAATGCTCACCTTGCTCTGTTTTGTGGTGCGTGTTCAAGACTCTCCCGTTCGAATGAACGAATCATTTGTGCTTATAAAACTTAAACTTTTTCATTTATTTTTTTAAATGAGCGATCGTTTCACTTGATTAGACCCTTATTCATCGTCTGGTGTCGTTTAAAGCCCTTTGAACAGTTTGCAGTTTGCACTGAAACTCTCATTTGGACCTTGAACCGTTTGGACCCCATTGAAGTCCATTATATGGAGACAAATCCTGGAATGTTTTCATCAAAAAGCTTAATTTCTTTTCGACTGAAGAAAGAAAGACATGGACATCTTGGATGACAAGGGGGTGAGTAAATTATCAGCAAAAGTATTTTAAAAGTGAACTACTCCTTTAATAACGGCTTTCTGAAGCGACACGATGGGTTTTTTGTAAGAAACAATATTCAGATTGTTAAAAAATTCTGGGTTGTTTTAAACCAAATTTGGGTTGAATACGGACAAACAGTTGGGTCAAACATTTCGTTTAAAAATGTAACCCAGCGGCTGGTATATTTGTCCATATTTGACCCAAATTTGGGTTGAAACAATAATATAATATTTAAAAGCTATAATAACTGTGATACAGTTTTTCATGAATCTTTGATGAATCGAAAGTTAAACTGTTTTTGAAATAGAAATCTTTGTAACATAATACATGTGTTTAACTGTCCCTTTCGATTCATTTTAATGCATGCATATAATAATATTAATTTAGCAACTTACTTTACCCCAACTTTACTTTGAAATTATAATGTGTGTGTGTGCAGCTTACAGATTTTAACTGTAAATAAAAGAAAAATTGTTTTGTTTTTTTTTTTTACAAATAAAACATAAATTTACCATGTAAGTTCAGTAATTATTTACATTTGTTTCTCAAAAAATATATATTTCCAGGTACGCAATATATCCAGCATTGCCCTTGTTTAATAAATGAGCATCAATTCAAGGAAAGTGTTGCCTTGTGTTTCTGAGACTGCGTGAATTTAATGAAATTGCGTGTCATTTGTTCCTCCTCTGCTAAACATCCTCTTCTCCCAGGAAGACATTCATTTACACACATATTTCCTGGAGATGCATGCGCAGACACACACAGGATCATGTGTCCATTCAGGATATTTATAGCCTCATTACACCAGACAGAAAGAGCTGAGAGCCGACTGTCATCGCTGGAGGCCTTATTCTGAGGCTATTCTTTCATATTTTCAGAAGCGAGTCACGAGCCACTGCATTAGTGGACATCTTCATTCACAATGAGCGTCTCAGACACTTGCATTGACGTGTATAAGAGAGGAGATCGCATGCACTGCACTCATTTCTGAAAATCTGGCTATTAATAATTAATATAAATAATAAAGAGCTGTTTTTAATAACAAAAAAAGCTCGTTGATATGACTTGGTTTTAATGGGTCGGGTTGGTATATTGGGATGGGGGGGGTGCTATCACTTTTTCGACAGCACTTTTATTTAAATTTAAATTGTGTTTTTGAACATTTATTTAAATACCTAATATTCAATAATATCAAATAAGAAGGGATCTATAAGGGAAATTTATTTTATGATTTGTATTGAAAATTTACTATAATAACCATATTTAGTTGGCCATATTTTTAATTGAAGATAGCAACAATTTAAATTGATCGATTTCACTTAGTTCGCCTATAGATTCGAATGAAAAGTGAAGAATCGTTTTAAAATGTACTAAAAGAAGAGCATAAAGCAGCACATGATGCACACAGTTCAGGCCTGATGGAATATTTCAGATCAAACATTGGACATTATTTTAGGTAGAGAACTGGAATGAAGAGACGATTCAAACGTTCATTGATCAAAACATTACACGAAAAACACAACAAACATATCAACAGTCTAAAAAGAACAGTTCCAGTTAAAGCCTTTATATAGAATGCATTATAAAAGTATTTGCATGCATTAATTATGCACTTTTTGTTGATCTCATGAATAGTTGCAAAAGCTATAATGCATTCTGATCTATTCAATGAACACAACGTAAGAACTGTTAGTGATGAGGATTTTCAATTGTCACTTGTGCAAGTTATATTGTTAAACGAGTAGACAACAAGAGACTGGCTTTTTGAGTGAGTCAGTGATTCATTCACCTTATTCACACACTTTGAATCATTCACCTTATTCACTCACTTTGAATCATTCATCATATTCACTCACTTTGAATCATTCACCTTATTCACACACTTTGAATCATTCACCGTATTCACTCACTTTGAATCATTCAACTTATTCACTCACTTTGAATCATTCAACTTATTCACTCACTTTGAATCATTTGAATGAGTCATTGAATCATTCACCTTATTCACTCACTTTGAATCGTTCACCTCATTCACTCACTTTGAATCATTCACCTTATTCACTCACTTTGAATCATTCACCTTATTCACTCACTTTGAATCATTCACCTCATTCACTCACTTTGATTAATTCACCTTATTCACTCACTTTGAATCATTTTAATCAACAAGACACTGGCTTTTTGAGTGAGTCAGTGAATCATTCACCATCCATCCATCCATCCATCTTCTTTCGCTCATCCGGGGCCAGGTCGCAGGGGCAGCAGTCATTGAATCATTCACCTTATTCACTCACTTTGAATCGTTCACCTCATTCACTCACTTTAAATCATTCACCTTATTCACTCACTTTGAATCATTCATCTCATTCACTCACTTTGAATCATTCACCTCATTCACTCACTTTGAATCATTCACCTAATTCACTCACTTTGAATCGTTCACCTCATTCACTCACTTTGAATCATTCACCTCATTCACTCACTTTGAATCGTTCACCTAATTCACTCACTTTGAATCGTTCACCTCATTCACTCACTTTGAATCGTTCACCTCATTCACTCACTTTGAATCGTTCAACTCATTCACTCACTTTGAATCATTCAACTCATTCACTCACTTTGAATCATTCACCTCATTCACTCACTTTGAATCGTTCACCTAATTCACTCACTTTGAATCGTTCACCTCATTCACTCACTTTGAATCGTTCACCTCATTCACTCACTTTGAATCATTCAACTCATTCACTCACTTTGAATCATTCACCTTATTTTCACTCTTTGAATCATTTGAATCAACAAGAGACTGGCTTTTTGAGTGAGTCAGTGAATCACTCACCTTATTCACTCACTTTGAATCACTCACCTTATTCACTCACTTTGAATCATTCAACTTATTCACACACTTTGAATCATTTGAATCAACAAGAGACTGGCTTTTTGAGTGAGTCAGTGAATCACTCACCTCATTCACTCTCTTTGAATCATTCAACTCATTCACTCACTTTGAATCATTCACCTTATTTTCACTCTTTGAATCATTTGAATCAACAAGAGACTGGCTTTTTGAGTGAGTCAGTGAATCACTCACCTTATTCACTCACTTTGAATCACTCACCTTATTCACTCACTTTGAATCATTCAACTTATTCACACACTTTGAATCATTTGAATCAACAAGAGACTGGCTTTTTGAGTGAGTCAGTGAATCACTCACCTCATTCACTCTCTTTGAATCATTCAACTCATTCAGTGGGTGCTTACACTAATATATCAGCTGAAGCAACACGGGAAATGATGGATAAACTCTTCGGCCTTACCTTTCTGCCGGAGAACAGCATGCACAGCTGATGCATGGACCCTCCGTTCTTCGTCAGCTCTTTCTTCAGGGTCCTGGGTGAGGGAAGCGTCCAGCCGCCCGCGTGCGTCCCTGAGCCCTCCATGCAGTGTATGGCGTTATCAGAGGTGAAGCAGGTGGTGCGCGGGTCCTGGAGAAGACTCCCCTCGCTGTGTGTGCGTCTGCGCAGGGAGTTCTGCACGCTCAGTCCGCTCGGGTGCTTCTCACACGAAGAGGCTTCCACCATGCTCCTGCGTTTACTGTCACTGCGCTCCAGGTAGTTCTCGTCACTATCTTCCTCCTCCTCGTCATCGTCCTCCTCTTCATCCTCGTCCTCGTACTCTTCATCGGTGCCGGGGGTGGAGAGGGCGTCCGCACTGAAGGAGCGATCCAATCGAAGCTCGGGGATGACGAACGACGAAGATGAGGACGAAGGCGGAGCGTTGGTGTCCGACGCATTCTCTTCGTCGCCGAGCAGCTGTTTTTCTTCATCGCAGTCTTGCGCGTGTGCGTGCGAGAACTCCTTCTCTTTGGCCTCGTCCTCGTGGACGCTGCTCTCCGTGCTCCGGCCATCTTCTCCTTCGGTGGAGGGTGGAGGTGTTGGAGGAACCGGGTTCTCCTCCAGAGAGGTACACATGTCCTCCAGCAGCGTGAGGCTCCTGGCTGTGGCGTCCGACTGGTCCTCCTCTGAGGTCATTCTCTGGCCCCTGAGGTCACACGGCTCATCCTGCTTGGGTTCAAGCATCTGACAACAGAAGAACAACAGTGTTACATTTCTAACATTTGCATTATCTGCATTCTTACACTCGCTATTTTTATTTCAAAATCAGAAGTTATGCAGCAATAGCGTGACCAGTGACCAGCAGTCCTGTTTTCACGTCCTGTCCTGGCCGTTTTTTTATAAAGTGATGTCCTGGTTTTCAAAAAAAAAAAAAAAAAAAAAACGCTAGAAAAGATCAGGTTTACAGCAAAATATAGGAGATGAGCAAACAAGGAGGATGAGGAGGAAAAACAGGGTAAAGAGGAAGAAAACTAGTTCATTTGTGAGAGGTATTTTTGTTCAATTTGAAGGTATTTCTTTTAGTTAATTAATATTTGAAGAGTTCAGATGCAAAAGCCTCTAAATGCCATTTGAAATTTTCTTCTTTAATGATGGTTTTTATCAAGCTTGTATATTTAAGTTCAGTGATTTCACTTAAATGGAAATGATAATTACCTATTAATTGTTATTTAAGTGAAATTACTGAACTTAAATATACAAGTTTGATAAAAATCATCATTAAAGAAGAAAATTTCAAATGGCATTTAGAGGCTTTTGCATCTGAACTCTTCATTTATATATTTATTTTTCTAATACAGAAGAGACATTATTTTTTTAATCATTATTTCATTCATTATTTTTTAAACCAACCTGTCATAATAAAACATGTTGAGTATCCTCTGAGAAGCCTATCTGAATTTGTGTCTTAATACAACAATTTTTTTAATCCACAGAGGGGGCATAGCCTATTTTAATTGTATTGAAATTAATAAGGCATCTTTGAGTAAACTTCGAGTATCAGCCATGTGTCCTGGTTTTTGGTAATCAAAATATGTTCACCAAATGCAGCAACTTTGTTTTGCCATGGCTTTGCGATTCTCTTTTACAAACTTGAATGGACACATGCTCGTTTAAACACGATTTAAACGACGAATGTACAATTCCATGCATTACTTATATATTAAGATGTCTTAAAGTAAAAATATGAAACAATTAAATACCTTTATGGTGAGATCACTACATTTTATTGAATTAAATGCATTTATGGTGAAACTACTACATTTCGAGGTCATTCTGAGTTCATTTTGACCACGAACCGTGCGCTGTCACTTTATTTCTGCGTTTGCAGCACTCGGTACGGAAACGATCTCTGCCCTGCTGTATACGCACCGCAACTGGAACGGACCGATGGACTGAAACGGGCGTTATGCATTATTCTATACCGTTTTGTGGGAATAGAGGGAATTGTTTTTAAAAGAACATTTAAAAAATGCATTTTAGAGTATTTCAACTACCCAGATGATGCACTAATTTAACCGAACAACTAAATGTGAAACATTGGACATTTCATGCATTCACATTTACAGATATGCAATATCATTGCACAATTCTAGTTTTGGTAACACTTTATTTTGATGGACTATAAGTAATTTTGTCAACTAACTCTAACCATAACCCTACTGGACCACTGGTAATACTCTAATGAGACTTAGTAGACATGTAGGTGCAACGTTACTTATATAGACAACAGAATGTGTTAAAGGGACCATCAAAATAAATTGAAACCAAAATTTTAAAAAGAACATGTGCATTTTTAATACCCGGATGATGCACAACATTGGACACTTCATGCACTCACATTTTAACAAAAATCTACCATAAACCTAAAGGTTATTGTTAAAGAAAATGATTTTGATGAAACAACCTTGCTCTTTTATCGTGACTTGTGTTTCACAGGATTTACTCAATGATGTATCAGATCAGCCATACATTTGAAGCTGATTATATGATGCAAACGCTTACAAATCATGCACTTTGGTAAATATGTTTTGAGCACATAACATAGACATTAAAATACTGAAAAGAATAAATATGTGTTAATCAATAATCTGCCCCGTAATCATAATTTATGTGAATGGGGAATAAGCGTTGTTGGTGTTTTACTGCCTCTAGTGTTCAATGTAGTGAATTGTATGTACAGGTCATTTTTTGGAGTTTTTGAAAATGTTTTTGTGGAGGCACATTTTTCTAATCTAGATTCTAGATTGATACTTAAAGTTGCAACTGTGTGTTAAAAAGGGATGCCAAAGGGTCGTATGAGACATTGCAGCTACCCTGGACAAATGGGCATCACATTAAATAAAATATAAATATTTTCAATCCTGGTCCTGCAAACCCAAATCGCAGCATATTTTGTTACACTTTTTTGTCACTATAAAAAAAATAACAGAGAGTAAGTGAGTGAATTCAGAATTAGGCTTGATAATAATGATCTAGTACACGTCAGCTAATATGCATGAGTAAAAGAGGTGTGAAAATATAATATCAGTAACAGACATTCACATTCATTTGGGATTAGATTTTCCTAGAGGAGAAAGCTGGAAAACAAACGGTAATTTAATTTGCTCTGGAATTTGTGCAGAGATTGTGTGAGAAAAACACACTGGGACATACGAATCTCTCTAATTTCCATCAGGAAAACTAGTCCCGTCTGAATAAAGCTTCTTTCTGTCTTAGTTTTTGTTTCAGGCTCCATAGATGCCGTGTGTGAACAGTCAAACAGGGGAAGGAAGTAAAATACAGAAAATAATTGTTTAAAGTGAATTAATGAGGAAGACAATCACTGGGAGACAGATTTGCAATATATCTAGTCCAGGGCAAGCCGTGAAGTCAAACATATTTCCCTAGGCTGCTCGCAGAGCTAAAAACAGGAATCTATAAAGCATTTTCAGAAATGCCAAATGTCGTCTTTGGGGATGAAAAATAAATAGAACAAGTTTACTAACTAGTTCTTCAACATTGTCTACTAGTTTACTAGATCTTGCTGTCTATCACAAGATAAATAGACAGACAGACAGACAGACAGATATATAGATAGATAGATAGATAGATAGATAGATAGATAGATAGATAGATAGATAGATAGATAGATAGATAGATAGATAGATAGATAGATAGATAGATAGATAGATAGATAGATAGATAGATAGATAGATAGATAGATAGATAGATAGATAGATAGAGACACACAGATAGACAGACAGACAGACAGATAGATAAACAGATAGATAGATAGATAGACAGACAGACAGACAGACAGACAGACAGATAGATAAACAGACAGACAGACAGACAGACAGACAGACAGACAGATAGATAGATAGATAGATAGATAGATAGATAGATAGATAGATAGATAGATAGATAGATAGATAGATAGATAGATAGATAGATAGATAGATAGATAGATAGATAGATAGATAGATAGATAGATAGAGAGAGAGAACAACCGATAGAACGATAGATAGGTAGGTTGATAGATAGATAGATAGATAGATAGATAGATAGATAGATAGATAGATAGATAGATAGATAGATAGATAGATAGATAGATAGATAGATAGATAGATAGATAGATAGATAGATAGATAGATAGATAGATAGATAGATAGATAGATAGATAGAACAACTGATAGATAGACAGACAGATAGATAGAACGATGATTGACAGACAGACAGACAGACAGACAGACAGACAGACAGACAGACAGACAGACAGATAGATAGATAGATAGATAGATAGATTTTTTTTTTGAATTGAATTGAATTGAATTGACAGACACTCGAGAAATAAACTCTCTTTACAGCAACAGAAAACAAGCTCAGCTGATGCAGCCAAAAGCAGAAGTCATAAGATTTGAAGAATTCATATAACCCCGGCTCACATGATCACGGCGTATTAGCTCTCTCTCTCATCCATAACTGGAGCTTCTCTGAGAATGAGCCTCTTATCTCGCCGCTGGTATTTTTAGGCTGTGTAAAAGGTTACTACTGAACAGAGCGACACGGAGGAAATTAGGCCACAAGAACCGAAGACAGATGATTTCCTTAAACTCTCTCTTTTGCTCTGTTATCCGTGACGGGGTGGTTCAGTCTGAGTCCCACGTGCATCGCTCTCCCATCGTGACGCAGAAGAAAAAAATAGAATAGTTGCGTAATGTGAACAAAAATGTGTGTGTGTGTGGGGGGGGGGGGATAAGATAAAAGATCATATAGAGCAACATGAACTACGGCTTTGAAAGAAATAGAGAGAATGGATTATACAAAAACAAGATAGACATTGTTTGTCTGTGCAAAAGTGTAGTGGGTCGTTGCTAGGGTGTTGCTAAGTGTTCACGTTGCTCAGTGGTTGCAATGTTCAAGGTGGTAGCTTATTGGTTCAAATCAAAAGAGCCCAACCCTAAATGTTCAAATGAGCAATGCGCCTTTGCAAACACCGCTAATTATTAAATCAATAAGGGTGTAGTATTACTTTATTCCTTTTTAGTGGCTCCCAGGAAATCATCACATCTATTATTCATTTAAAGCATTAAGCCGTCCAACTCGATGACTGGAAAACATATTTTGAGCCGAGATAACTTTTTTATGCAGAATGATACGTTGGATTTGTCAAAAGATCTTTGGATGGTAGGTATATGAACACCAAAGACTTTAGATATACAAAGACAAATGCATTCATATTATATCTAGCCTTTAAAAAAAGCTTTCATGTTGATAAGTAAGCTTTTATAAAAGATGATTGTCAAAGATTGCTGGTTTTACATGTAATTTAAGCAGGTTTTGAGGTTTTATGATCCCTATTGAAGTCGATAGGATGTGGTTTCGGCGCTGTGAACACGTCACCGAGTGAAAGCCTCATTACTGAACACTATATCTGCATGTGAAACCAGAATTGTTCTTAAAATATAAAATGTGTGAGGCTTAAAATATGCTCTATGCAAGCCGATGATGATGTGTAACTATATATGACTTGCTTTTATTGCGTAGTTGTGTTCTGAAACTGCATTAGCAGCAATGCAAGAATGCTATAGCGCATATTAACACAAACTGTCCTTTCCAAACTGGAACCTTTTGTGATGGACACAAACATGTGGACAACTGGACAACATGTGATGATGCATTTCCAGCAGTGTTTTAGTCGAGAC